CAAAATGGGTATAGATGGTACATACCTCAACATATAAAGGCCATATATGACAAACCCACAGTTAACATCATATTTGATGATGAAAAGCTGAAAGCTTTTTCTCTAGAATCAGGAATAAGACAAAGATGCCCACTCTCACCACTTTTATTCAACACAGTACTGGAGGTCCTAGCCACAGCAACCAAAAGACAAAGAGATAAAAGACATCCAAATTGGTAAGGAAAACTGTCACTATTTACAGATGACATGATATTATATAGAGAAAACCCTAATGACTCCACCAAAAAAATTTAGAACTAATAATTGGATTCAACAAAGTTGCAAGATACAAAATGAATATATAGAAATCCATTGCGTTCCTATATACTAACAATGAACTAGCAGAAAGGGAAATCAGGAAAACAGTTCCATTTACAATTGCACCAAAAAGAATAAAGTACCCAGGAATAACCTAACCAAGGAGGTGAAAGACTTGTACTCTGAAAACTACAAGACACTCATGAGAGAAATTAAAGAAGATACCAATAAATGGAAATCTGTCTTGTGCTCACAGATAAGAATGGATACTATAGTCAAAATGGCCATCCTGCCCAAAGCAGTTTACAGATTCAGTGTAACCCCTATCAAAATACCAATAACATTTTTCAATGAAAAAGAGCAAATAATCCTAAAATTCACATGGAACTGCAAAAGACACCAAATAGCCAAAGAAATCCTGAGAAAGAAGAACAAAACTGGGGATATTAAGCTCCCTGGCTTCAAGCTATACTACACAGCTACAGTAATCAAAACAGTATGGTACTGGCACAAGAACAGAATCACAAATCAATGGAATAGAACAGAGAACCCAGAAATAAGCCCATACATATATGGTCAATTAAAATTTGACAAAGTTGGCAAGAATATACAATGGGGAAAAGAGTTTCTTCAATAAATGGTGTTGGGAAAACTGAACAGCTACATACAAGAGTATGAAACTGGATCTCTAACACTATATACAAAAGTAAACTCAAAATTGAGTAAAGACCTAAATATAAGTCATTAAACCATCAAACTCTTAGAAGAAAACATTGGGAAAAATTTTGTGAACATAAACATGAGCAATTTTTTTCTGGATATTTCTCCTTGGTTGAGGGGAACAAAAGCAAAAACAAACAAGTGGAACTACATCAAACTGAAAAGCTTCTGCACAGCAAAGGACACCATCAAGAAAACAAAAAAGGCAACCTATAGTATGGGAGAATATATTTGTAAATATATTTGTAAAGGAGCTAACATCTCAAATATATAAAGAACTCACATGACTCAACACCAAAAAAATAAATAAATAACCCAATTAAAATGGGCAGAGGACCTGAATAGACATTTTTCCAAAGAAGAAATATAGATGGCCAACAAGCACATGAAAAGATGCTCCACATCACTAATCATCAGGGAAATGCAAATCAAAACCACAATAAGATATAACCTCACACCAGTCAGAATGGCCACTATTCGAAGAACAAGTAATAACAAGTGGAAAGGATTAAGAAGAAAAGGGAGCCATTGTACACTGTTGGTGGGAATGTCAAGTGGTACAGCCACTGTGGAAAGCAGTAGGGAGGTTCCTCTAAAAGCTAAAAATAGAAATAGCATCTGACCCAGTCATGTCACTTGTAGGAATTTAGCTGAAGAAAAGAAAATCTGATTTGAAAAGATATGTGCACCGCTGTTTATTGCCACATTATTTACAATACCAAGGTATGGAAGCAATCAAAGTGTCCAACAGTAAATGAATGGATAAAAAATCATGGTATATACACACATGGAAATATTATTCATCCATCAAAAAGAAAGAAATCCTTCCATTTGAAACAACATGGATGGCCCTAGAGGGTATTATGCTAAGTGAAATGAGCCAGGTGGAGAAAGACAAATACCATATGATTTCACTTAGATGTGTTATCTAAGAACAAAAACAAAACAGCAGCAGACTCAGACACTGAGAAGTGATTGGTGGCTACCACTAGGGAGGGGTTAGGGTGAGTGGGTAAATAGCTAAAGAAAAAGAGAACACTACATTAAAATAGCATTTATCTTCAGTACTGAGGTTTCTTTAAACCCCTTCAAAGTTTGTGCTTGAGATGAGTGTCTCCCTCACCTTACCCAGCCTTTTCACTCTAAGAAAATTCAAAAACAAAGCACTAGGAAAATATGCAATGCACACAGAATAAATTACTGGAATTATTGACCATGAAGTAGCTTTAATAACTAATAGATATTACATTTTATTTTAAACTTACAAATTCCACAAGCAACCTAATACTATAAGAAGCAGGAAAATCATCTCCATAGGCAGGGGTGGTAATATATGGGAAAATATGTTATTAATAAAAAACTGATAAATACAGCAGTTAGTTCTTGGTTTCCTTGCCCTCCTGGTATGACGGTCTGTGCTTAGTCTTGCCATTTCTTTTCAAGCCAAATCTTTGAGTATTAGAAAATGCAGACTGGGACACCTCAGTTTCCACCTACAACATTGTATACCGTGGAGAGTAGCCTGCTTAGAAAGGTACAAATAGTTTCAAGTATATTCTAAACTGAGTTTCTGGCCTTTCTTAAAGAGCAAACTCTTCCTTGGCTCCTTAGAAATGCCTGATTTCCCTGGTTTTGTTTCTGCCCAGAGCTTGCTTCCCCTCCCCAGTGTAGACACTGTCTCACAAGCCATTCCTGTGAAACTGGTTCACACAAAAGGCAGTAAATCATGAATTCTAAGGCCTAATATGCAGAGGTTCAAATTGAAGGAATGGGAAGTGTGGGGGCTTGGGGAATTTGAGGTTTAGGACTCTTGAGAACACTATCTTAATGCCCCCTGTATATATGCAAGGCCCCAGTTGACAGCTCCCTCTTTTAAATTATCGACCATAGGTTTAACTCCCCTAATATATAGTTCAAGATTATAGAGACTAGTTTGAATTAGTATTTAGTTATTACAACTCATTATTTTGACAACTGATAAATACAGCACAAGAGTTACGCAATTTTTCTGCCTTTTCTGTATGAACTAAACCTCATGGTAGCAACATGGTTGATAAGAAGTTTCTCTTTATACAAATATTTCAACTAATAAATAAGGAAAAAATATAGACTAATAGCATTATCATTTTGTACCTTCTAATGAATTAATCGGTCTACACCCATACTATCCAATATGGTAGACACTAGTCACACATAGCTATTTACATTTAAATCTAAAGTAATTAAAATTTGTTTAATTAACAGTTCAGTTTCTCCATCACACTAGCCACAGTTAAGAGTCACATGTGGCTACAGGATACCATATGAAGATAGAGAATAGATATAGAATAGTTAATACAGATCTAGAAAAAATGTAGTACTGATACAGAACATTTCCATCACCACAGAAATTTCTATTGGAAAATGCTTCCTTAGAAATTCTACTCTAGACAATAAACTTCAATTGTTGCCAGACATTGAGTGATAGAAGTACACAACAGATAGCATCTTGCCAAAAAAATAAATCAAACCTGAATAAAATCAAGCGTCTGGATCTTACTGCTAATTTGCATGAAATACAGGGGACAGAGGAATGTGTTATACAACACCATGGAGATTCAATCAGCAAATTCCAGATTGTGGAACACTATTCAGAACAAATGATGCAGCTTTGTTAACAAAAATATTACCCAAAAAATGATGGAGGAAACTTAAACCTCATAACTTCCATGAGATGTAAGAAACATATCAAACAATTGCAATATATAGCCTTTCTTAAGATAAATAATTACAAATTTTTAAAACAGTTGTAGGAATCTGAACACTGGCTATTTGCTGATAGTGAGGAACTCTTGCTAATTTTATTTAGGTATAAAAATACTATTTGGGGGATCTTTTAAGCATCCTTACCTTTTAGGCACATACTGAAATATTTACAGATGAAGTGATATGATGTTTCGACTTTGCTTCAAAATGATCTGGATGTGGGACCTTGAGGAAGAAATAAATGAAACAAGACTAGGTATGACTTGTTTGCTGGAGTTGTATAATGGGTATATGGGGGTTCATTATTTTTTCTCTACTTCGGTGTATGTTTGAAATATCTACACGAAAAAGTTTAAAATTTTTTCATTGTGTTAGCTAATTATAATCCACTGCCATATATACCTGCAAATTGTAGACAAATTAGCATTAATAATTAAATCTGTGATGAAAAAAATTATATTCCAAATGTTGGTTAAATTCATTGCAACAAACTTCCAATTTCATTTATCTTTATATTAATACAAGGTTTTTTTTCAAATAACAAATGAAAATATTCATCTTAATTAAAATGTTTCTCAGTTAAAAGAAAAAAAATCAGACATCACTCTTAATATGACACCAGTAGGGGGAGATAGATGCTGGATTTCCTCTGGGAGAATTTTTTCAAGAAATAATCCACTTAATGTGACAGTCGGATGATTTGTGGGGAGGGGAGATTCCGGGAGGACACTCTCCTATGTGTTTTCAGTAAAAAGCAGCTCTATCCTCAATTCCTTAGCCTTTGATTTCCATGAAAGGAATTGTTCGCTCTGCCTCATTACAATCCAGTTTTCAATCTAAATACATGTTCAAATTACAATACTAACACTGTTCAAATTCTCCTTCTGGTTCTGTCTTATATTCCCTTAATGGACTTTCCAGACATTAGTCAAGTATTTTTTAAAGCACCTCTTTTACTCTCCCATGTATAATGCTAATTTAACATTTGGGTTAAGCTAGTAGTTAACAAAAATATTACCCAAAAAATGATGGAGGAAACTTAAACCTCATAACTTCCATGAGATGTAAGAAACATATCAAACAATTGCAATATATAGCCTTTCTTAAGATAAATAATTACAAATTTTTAAAACAGTTGTAGGAATCTGAACGCTGGCTATTTGCTGATAGTGAGGAACTCTTGCTAATTTTATTTAGGTATAAAAATACTATTTGGGGGATCTTTTAAGCATCCTTACCTTTTAGGCACATACTGAAATATTTACAGATGAAGTGATATGATGTTTCGACTTTGCTTCAAAATGATCTGGATGTGGGACCTTGAGGAAGAAATAAATGAAACAAGACTAGGTATGACTTGTTTGCTGGAGTTGTATAATGGGTATATGGGGGTTCATTATTTTTTCTCTACTTCGGTGTATGTTTGAAATATCTACACGAAAAAGTTTAAAATTTTTTCATTGTGTTAGCTAATTATAATCCACTGCCATATATACCTGCAAATTGTAGACAAATTAGCATTAATAATTAAATCTGTGATGAAAAAAATTATATTCCAAATGTTGGTTAAATTCATTGCAACAAACTTCCAATTTCATTTATCTTTATATTAATACAAGGTTTTTTTTCAAATAACAAATGAAAATATTCATCTTAATTAAAATGTTTCTCAGTTAAAAGAAAAAAAATCAGACATCACTCTTAATATGACACCAGTAGGGGGAGATAGATGCTGGATTTCCTCTGGGAGAATTTTTTCAAGAAATAATCCACTTAATGTGACAGTCGGATGATTTGTGGGGAGGGGAGATTCCGGGAGGACACTCTCCTATGTGTTTTCAGTAAAAAGCAGCTCTATCCTCAATTCCTTAGCCTTTGATTTCCATGAAAGGAATTGTTCGCTCTGCCTCATTACAATCCAGTTTTCAATCTAAATACATGTTCAAATTACAATACTAACACTGTTCAAATTCTCCTTCTGGTTCTGTCTTATATTCCCTTAATGGACTTTCCAGACATTAGTCAAGTATTTTTTAAAGCACCTCTTTTACTCTCCCATGTATAATGCTAATTTAACATTTGGGTTAAGCTAGTGGTCTTACAAAAATGTCATTTCTTCATACAACTATTTCTTGAATGTCTACTATGTGCTGGGTACTGTGGTCAGTGCTGGAGTTATCATGAAGAATAAGTAAGAATTGGTTCCTACCTTCAAAGAGTTTACCATTTAATAGTAGAGCATAGGACACAGTAGGATAAAATACAGTAAATAGAGTATACACACGATGGTATGGGAGGCCACAGAAGGATAGTTAACCCACTGTGGAGAAAGACTTCCCAAATGGAATACACAACTACGTCTTTCATTCATTCATTATTTTGTTAAGTAACCCAACACATAAATATTTTATCCATTCAACAAATACATAATGACCCCTCTAAAGAACAAGATACAGTGTCTTCTTGATCCAAATCACTATAAACTCTTCTTGCTCAAGATACACCATCTTTGGGAGAGGGAACTGCCTCTAACACTGAACCATTCTAAGCAACTTTTCTTCATTTTATGAAGTTAGCATTTTCAGTATAAATCCCTCTTTTCCCTGGAAAATACCAATGCTATTTCAAATATTACTTCTGGGTATTTTGTACTAATTTTTAAAAACATGTTATAACTTTTATGAGACTAAACAGATGCTAGTTACATATTCTCTTTCCTTAATCATTACACAATTTCTTTTGTTTTTCCATCAATTCATTTAAAATATTCTTATTGTCAAGACCATAACTCTACAGAAGAGATTTTTCTCCCTTTTCCCTAAACCTGAGTTAATCAACATGGTCATCTCATGGTCAAGAAGAGGAATTTTTTTCTTCCAGGAATTACATCCCTTGGGTTATAGTCTTCTACCAATTTTTGTTATTCCTATTATCCTCTCCTCAACCCCAGCCATAGTCCAATATAGGTAGATAATTAAACATGCACATAATTTTCTATTTGTGAGGAAATTTGGGTTGCAGAATAGTTACTACTTGACAATAATCTTGGGTATTTTGTACTAATTTTTAAAAACATGTTATAACTTTTTATGAAACTAAACAGATGTCAGTTACTTATTCTCTTTCCTCAATCATTACACAATTTCTTATGTTTTTTCCATCAATTCATTTAAAATATTCTTATTGTTAAGACCATAACTCTACAGAAAAGATTTTTCTCCCTTTTCCTTGAACCTAAGTTAATCAACATAGTCATCTCATGGTCAAGAAGAGACATTTTTTTCTTCCAGAAATTACATCCCTTGGGTTATAGTCTTCTACCAATCTTTGTTATTCCTATTATCCTCTCCTCAACCCCAGCCATAGTCCAATATAGGCAGATAATTAAACATGCATATAACCTTTCTATTTGTGAGGAAATTTGGGTTGCAGAATAGTCCCTACTTGACAATAGTCTTGGGTATTCAGAAAGGGCCTACCTAACTTGTACTACTCTTATGTCCCAAAAAAGGCTCCTTTGTATAAACTTCAGTCTAGTCTCACCTCCCTCCTTCCGTATGTCCTACTTGATATTTCACTCTGAGGTTCCAGAGGGAGTGGCACCGTATCTTCACCTATATGGCCCCAGACCTTCCATTTTACTTCAGGCCATCCTAGTGTCTGAAGAGCTCATCACCACCACCTCAGCCAGCAATTCCCTGAGCTGTCCTTTCAAGGAGTCTCGATTAGCCTTTTGTGTGCTGTTGGGCATTAAGCCCCACACTCAGTTTTCCTTTTTCCAAAGTCCATTCTAAGTACTGTTTCCTTCATTCTCCTCTTTCTGATTTTTGTTTATAATCTGTCCTTGATCTTAAATTACTTCAGACTTCCATTATAGATTATCTCCACCAAGTTCTCTCAAGATTCTTCTTTTCAAAATTTCCTAACATACCCTCTTAAATTCCCAAAACTCTGTTTTCTGAGCTCTTGAAAAAGCTGGTCTCATCTGCAGGTCTCCTCTGATAGACAGGTCTTCTTACATAGGTTCCAGATACTCGTTCTCTTGGGTAACTTCCATCAGCCAATAGACAACTTTTCAAGGGGGTGGTTTTCTCTCCCAAAGACCATGACTCTGACCTTTCCCCTTTCTTGCCCTCTGGTCATTCACCACACCTGCTGTATCTACTGGAATCCAACACACACAGTCCTTCCAAGGATACAACTATTTTTACTACAATAAAAGGACTGTTAGGATACAAACCATATCCAGATGAGTGAAGATAAAAATACATAGTTCCCTGTTACTTGGCTTGGCAGACGATTACAGCATTAGTCTTATCCCAAGGCATTTTTTAAATTTATTTATTCTTCTTCTATTTTGGTATCATTAATATGTAATTATATAAGCAACATTGTGGTTACTAGATACCCCCCATTATCAAGTCCCCACCACATACCCTATTATAGTCACTGTCCATCAGTGTAGTAAGATGGTACAGAGCCACTATTTCTCTTCTCTGTGCTATACTGCCTTCCCCGTGCCCCTCCCCCATAATGTATGCTAATCGTAATGCCCCTTATTTCCCTTCTCCCTCCCTTCCCTCCCTGCCAACCCAAGTCCCTATAACTTTGGCAACTGTTAGTCCATTCCTGGTTTCTGTGAGTCTGCTGCTGTTTTGTTCCTTCAGTTTTTGCTTTGTTCTTATACTCCACATATGACTGAAATCATTTGGCACTTGTCTTTCTCTGCTTGGCTTATTCCACTGAGCATAATACCCTCTAGCTCCATCCATGTTGTTGCAAATGGTAGGATTTGTTTTCTTCTTATGGCTGAATAATATTCCATTGTGTATATGTACCACATCTTTTTTATCCATTCATCTACTGATGGACATTAAGGTTGCTTCCATTTCTTGGCTATTGTAAATAGTGCTGCGATAGGGGTGCATCTGTCTTTTTCAAACTGGGCTGCTGCATTCTTAGGGTAAATTCCTAGGAGTGGAATTCCTGGTTCAAATGGTATTTCTATTTTGAGTTTTTTGAGGAACCTCCATACTGCTTTCCACAATGACTGACCTAGTTTACATTCCCACCAGCAGTGTAGGGGGGTTCCCCCTTCTCCGCACCCTTGCCAGCATTTGTTGTTCCTATTCTTTTCTATGTTGGCCATCCTAACTGGTATGAGGTGATATCTCATTGTGGTTTTAATTCACTTTTCCCTGATAATTAGTGATGTGCAGTATCTTTTCATGTGCCTGTTGGCCATCTGAATTCTGTCTTTGGAGATATGTGTGTTCATATCATCCACCCATTTTTTAATAGGGTTATTTGCTTTTGGATGTTGAGCTGCATGAGTTCCTTATATATTTTGGATTATAAACCCCTGCCAGATAGGTCATTTACAAATACATTCTCCCATAATGTAGGATGCCATTTAGTTCTGCTGATGGTGTCCTTTGCTGTACATAAGCTTTTTAGTTTGATGTACTCCCATTTGTTCATTTTTTATTTTGTTTTCCTTGCCCGATGAGATGTGTTCAGGAAAAAGTTACTCATGTTTATAGTTAAGAGATTTTTGCCCATGTTTTCTTCTAAGAGTTTTATGGTTTCATGACTTACATTCAGGTCTTTGATCCATTTTGAGTGTACTTTTGTGTATGGAGTTAGACAATAATCCAGTTTCATTCTCTTGCATACAGTTATCCAGTTTTGCCAACACCAGCTGTTGAAGAGGATGTCATTTCCCAATTGTATATCCATGGCTCCTTTATCATATATTGATTGACTATGTATGTGTGGATTTATATCTGGGCTCTCTAGTCTGTTCCATTGGTCTATGGGTCTGTTTTTGTGCCAGTACCAAATTGTCTTGATTACTGTGGCTTTGTAGTAGAGCTTGAAGATGGGGAGCGTAATCCTCCTTGCTTTATTCTTCCTTTTCAGGATCGATTTGGCTATTCAGGGTCATTTGAGGTTCCTTATGAATTTTAGAACTATTTTCTCTAGTTCATTGAAGAATGCTGTTGGTATTTTCATAGGGATTACATTGCTTCTGTAGATTGGTTTAGGCAGGATGGCCATTTTGATGATATTAATTCTTCCTATCCATGAGCATGGGATGTGTTTCCATTTATCGGTATCTTCTTTAACTTCTCTCATGAGTGTCTTGTAGTTTTCAGAGTATAGGTCTTATACTTCCTTGGTTAGGTTTATTCCTAGGTATTTTAGTCTTTTTGATGCAATTGTGAATGGAATTGTTTTCCTGATTTCTCTTTCTGCTAGCTCATCATTAGTATATTGGAATGCAACAGATTTCTGTGCATTAATTTGTATTCCGCAA